AAGTTCAAAGGTAACATCATAACCGTTGACCTTTAATGAAATTGTAGGTGAATGTTTAATTGATTGTTTCGTTTGATTGGAACAGTCCAATTTATAAATCGTTGAAATATGTTTTGTAGAAGATTGTTCCTTTTTCTTCTGACGACAGAATTTTTCTAAATGACCGGTTTTTTTGCAAAAGTTACAAGTAAACTCACGATATTTGCATTTGGATCGAAGATGTTTAATTGAACCACATGTTTCACATGGTTGGTATTCATTTTTTACGAATGAAGGAGTGTGTTGTTGTTTATGTCGTTTTGGTTGGTGATTATGAAGCTTGGCCACCGTGTAATCAGCATGATTAATTGGATTTCCAAAATGACGAACATCTTCTTCTAATCGTTCAGCTAATTGAATAATTTTTTCTGTTGTTTCTAAATCAGGATCTTGTTCCTTAAGTAATGCTTGTCGAATTTTTTGACTTTTAATGCCAATAACATACATATCTCGAAGTGCACGGTCTTGTGGTTTATTTTTTAAAGCAGATGTAGTAAATCCACAATGACGTAGTTTTTCACATAATTCAGCTTTCCATTCAGCAAATGTTTGTCCTGATTTTTGATAACAAGAATAGAAATCATATGTTGAGGTCATAATATTTTTTGTTGCATCATAATGAGTATCTAACAACTTGATTAAATCGGTGAACCGAGTATCCTCAGCAGTTAATGATCGCGGAGAGATCAATGATTCAAGTAAATGATATGTTGTATCACCAACAGACCAAAGAAAAAGTGCTTTTTTATCTTGATCGGTATGAATACGATTTGCTTGAAAATAAAAACTTATTCGATCACGATAAGATTGCCAAGTACAGGTGCGAGCATCAAAAGCATGAAGGGTGGGTATTGAAGAGACAGTTGCTAGTTGAAATGTTGGTGTTAACGTTGTTGTAGCCATGAAGAATGAATGCAGAAATCACGAAGCTAATTGATGAATGAATTTGAAGAGAAGAAGAGAAAAAAAAAGTCTATTGTTGAAGATGATCAACGAATGAATAAGAGAGGATCACTCTCGTCGCCAATGTAAGTTTGTTTAGTTTGAACGTGAGTTCAATTTTATTTCAATAATGAAAGAACGAAAGAATGAAGGAATCGAGCAGAAGAGGATGCCAACAATAACTATTCCACCCAAGAATAGAAGAAATACATAAGCATATATATGATGATAACACTATCGCGTATTATAAGCTATGCAATAGAAAAAGTAATGGGCAGAAAGAAAATAAAAAAAAGAGCAAGGTCAATGTCGATATTTATTGACCGTGAGAAAATAGAAATGAGCGAACAATTTTAAGTGAACAAGAAGAACTAAAACAACAGATACATATAAGAGCAAGAAGAAGAAACTTAGCATGCACATATAATTCATAAGGAAGAATATTTTCTTAACAGTAAAGTAAAAAAAAAAGAACTGCGATGTAGTCCCTTGTTGAGTTAAAGTAGCATCACACGAACCATTGATGATGAATGAGCCAAAATGAAGTCGAATAAGGATCGATAATTTCATTCAATTCTTCTTCTGTATCAACATCAAAAAGCATCAAAAATTGAAATGTTTTCAATTTTGGTAAATAATCAATAATAAATTGTTCCCATCGATGACCACTCATATTATGCTTTCTAGTTTGAAGAGTTAAAGAAATTAAATGAGGCATATTTTTGAGTAAATTAATCGTTCCATTAGTCAACTGATTGACTATGAGTTTCAATGACGACATCGATTGGAGGGTGTGGGTGTGGGTGTGGGTGATCACAAGATTGATATCCAAATCCAGCACTCATACTCACACCCACCCAGCCAAAAAGGCTTAAAGTCAAGCCATCGTAAAACTTTCTTTTTCCTCATTTTGGACAGTTACGATCTGTAAAAGGAGGAAATAAGTAAATGTTCAATATAATTTTTCAATACAGTTGATCAACGAATATACGTCAGATGAGAATATAAAAAGTTGATTGACGAATTGTCCTTGTTTAGAACCTTCGTTATTCATATATAAAAATTTTACTGGATGTTTCAGTATAAAAGCATGTAGTCCCTCTCAGGTCATTTGAAAAATAGAATTTCAACTTGAAACTTAGCGTGAACAAAGTTCTTAATGAGATTAGTTAATATAGAAAGTTTCGAATATTCAATATTTCAGGTTAAGAAAAAAAACCCTAGAAAAGTTACGACGTTGCCCAAAGAATTAATCTGATGTTCATGCAAAATTTGAATTCGAACGTCGATTTTGTATCCCAGGCAGACAAAAAAGTGAAAAAACGCGTTTAAACGCGCAGAGATTTTCGACCGTGTCAGGATGTCAATCGAGGTTCCCGATTGTGTGTCACTAACGACCAGTATAAGTGAACGTGAAAACGGTCTCTTTTTCATGCTTAATGAAATTTGAATATTTTCATTTCATCAATACAATATCATTTTCACGTTTAGTATTCCGTACCGTGTTTGACTCACAATCGGGAACCTCGATTGACAACCGGTCACGGTCAGTAAAAATGGACGTTAAAATGATCCTTTTTTCCACTATGCCGGAAAAACTTAACGTTTAAACGCCAAGTTTCTTGAAACAATTTGACATTAATAAATTCCAACCGTTTCTGACTGCCAGTCGGGAACCTCGATTGACAACCGGTCACGGTCAGTAAAAATGGACGTTAAAACGATCCTTTTTTTCACTATGTCGAAAAAACTTAACGTTTAAACGGCAAGTTTCTTGAAACAATTTGACATTAATAAATTCCAACCGTTTCTGACTGCCAGTCGGGAACCTCGATTGACAACCGGTCACGGTCAGTAAAAATGGACGTTAAAATGATCCTTTTTTTCACTATGTCGGAAAAACTTAACGTTTAAACGCCAAGTTTCTTGAAACAATTTGACATTAATAATTTCCGACCGTTTCTGACTGCCAGTCGGGAACCTCGATTGACAACCGGTCACGGTCAGTAAAAATGGACGCTAAAACGATCTTTTTCTTCGCTACGTCCGAAAAACTCAACGTTTAAATGGTATATTTCTTGAAATCATTTCACATTAACAATTTTCTATCATTTCTGACTCACAATCGGGAGCCGCGATTTGCAATGTATCACGTCCAGACAAACTGAACGTCAAGGTGATTCTTATTCTACTACGCTGTAAAACTCTAACATTTAAACGATTCATTTCCTAAAAAGCTAGGGTTTAGTTTTAGTTCCTATTTTACACTCATAGTCGGGACCGCAATGGAGAATAGATCAGGATCAGAAAAAATGGACGTTAGCATTATACCTTTTAAACTAAGCTGAGACTCTTTAATGTTTAAACCCTCTTCTCTTCAGAACCGGTTCACATTTACTATTCCTTATTGACTTCAGTTCATAGTTGGGAGCCGTGAATATCAGTCGCAATTAGCTGTCTTTCTACATTGTTAAGACGTAAACAAGAGTACTTTCTAAGACGTTTTAAGGCGGAAGAGATCTATGCGTACGACCATGCATGAATTCAACTGTCTCAAGCTCATTAAACATAGGATACTGCACATCACGAAATAAAGCGAAACTAACTGAATGTTACAATGCTCAAGAGTGATGCTTGAAATCGAAATAGACGTTTCAAATATTTTGCAGAATACAACTCAATTCGAAAAATAGAAGGGAGATCCCGTGTGACATATGAAATTCTACTAAAAAACGGGAGCTCAGAACAGTTGCATCAAGTGTACCTCTGAGGTCCGTCATGACTCATGTTGTAAAGACATATCTGACGGTAGGATACAGGAAAAAAACTATGGAACGATAGCATTTTACAAGAATCGAATGAGAACAAAAGAGAAAAGATTTCTTACAGGCTGATTCTGCTTACGATTCCACCTAAGCTTCAAACATCTGAATGTGACTTATGTAACCAGGCAACAGTACGAACATTCATCGACTTCTTCATACGGGTAGTGCAAGTATAACTCACTCAAAAAGGACAGGGGATTCTCACA